GAGGTACCATCTTATACCTATCAGATTGGCTAATATGAAAAAACAGGAAAATGAAAAATGTTGGAGAAGATGTGGGAAAATTGGAACACTAATGCATTATTGGTAGAGTTGTGAACTGATCCAATCATTCTGCAGAGCAATTTGGAACTATGCCCAAAGGGCTATAAAGCTGTGCATACCTTTTGATCCAGCAATACCACTTCTAGGTCTGTATCCCAAAGAGATCATACAGATGGGAAAAAGACCCACATGTACAAAAATATTTATAGTGGCTCTTTTTGTGGTGGCAAAGAGTTGGAAATTGAGGGGATATCCATCAATTGAGTAATGGCTGAACAAATTGTGGTATATGAATGTAATGAAATACTATTACTATAAGAATATGTAAAAAAGTAGTAACAATTACTATAAGAAATGATGAGCAGGTGGATTTCAGAAAAGCCTGGAAAGACTTTCATGAACTGATGCTGAACAAAGTGAGCAGAACCAGGAGAAAATTGTATACAGTAACAGCAGCACTGTGCAATGATCAACTTTGATGGACAGCTCTTCTCAGCAATACAATGATCCAAGACAATTCCAAAAGACTCATGATGGAAAATGTTATCCACATCCAGAGAAAGAACTATGGAGTCTGAATGCAGATGGAAGCATACTATTTTCCTTTTTTTCTTCTTCTTTCTAGTGGTTTTGCCCCTTTGTTCTGATTCTTCTTTCACAACATGACTAATGTGGAAATACATTTAATATAATTATACATATATAGCTTATTGCTTGTTGTCATAAGAAATGGGGTGGGAGGGAGGGGCAAAAATTTGGAACTCAAAATCTTATAAAAGTGAATGTTGAAAACTGTCTTTACATATAATTGGAAAAAAATAAAATACTGTTAAGTGGAGGGAAAAAAAAAGATTGCGAGAGAGAACACCTGAGACTTTGTGTAACTCCTGGAACTCACTCCCTTTGGAAATATCTTAATAAGTGTTGGGGTACCATTCTGTAGCATTTGTTTTAAGGAAAAATAAGAATTAAATTCTAAAAGTTTTAGAAGTAAATGTCAAGATTAATAGCTTCATTGTTCTGAGGCAATGAAGGACAGCAGCTTGTTTTGAAGTAATCCCAGAGTGAAGAAAGGAAAAAAAATAGGTAAATAGTTTGTACCTTATAGCAAACTCTTGTTAACCCTTCCTTGACATTTCTGACTATGAAAAGAGAAAAGATTGTTGAAGAAATTCCTGTGACTCCCCCAGGTCAAAGACTGTCTCCCTGTTAATCCCTATATCCAAGATCAGATTCCCAAATATAAGTGTTGAAAAAAATGCTGGAAAAACGTACAGACACGTGAATTACATTTCAATTGCAGAAGCTTGTTAGCTGTGTAATCTTAGGCAAATTATCTCATCCTGTTTGCCCCAGTTTCCTGATCTGTAAAGAGAAAAATAATAATGGTACCCACCCCCAGGGTTGTTGTGAGGTCAAAATAATATAATGATGGTAAAGTGCTTAACATAGTGACTGGCATATGCTAAGCATTACATTATTTCTTTAAATTGAATGTAACTGTTCCATACCTGATAATTCCAAAGTTGTTTTAAAAATGCCAAAGGCAATAAGATTAATGATTTTTATATGTGATAATTTGCAAATGCAATTTACTGAATTGATGGCATTTGAAGTTTTGCTTCATGTTTTAAATACATGATGTTGTGTGTATTATTATTATTGTATTTTGAAATTCTATTACATTTTGAAATTTGAGAGACCATTGTAACAGAAATGCTATTAGACAAAAGAGCTTTTTAATCTGGATGCTGTTACACATGAATTGGGTTTTTAAAAGGTTGTGATAAAAATAGATATTTTAAAATTGTTAAATATTTAATGAGGTATATTTTTTATAAAGCAGATAATATATAATAGCAAATTTTCATTCGAAATTCTTGGCTATTATGAAAATTTATAGGGCAGTTTAAAGATGTAGCTGCAATGTATTAATAATTAGTCAACTATCAGATATTTTCTACATGTCTAAAACCCCAGAATATGGATAGTTTCAATTTAAAAGATAAATGAAATGTTAACTGTTAGGGAAACATCAGGAAAGATATTCAGTCCCTAAGTTGTGGTTAGTGAAATTTTGCTATTTGAGATAAAAATTCCTAGGACTGTAATTTATTATTGTTTTGAGTTTTGATTACAGGGAAAGTGGTTTGAATTGTCATGAAGCCATTAGTGGAAAATGGCATATGGTACAGTCTGTGCCCTGGGCAACAATCTAAGACTACAAGTTATAAAGAAGGTACCAAGCTACATTGGTAGAGGGAGTTTCTTCTGGTCCTCCCAATACATATATTTGTCCTACCTACCTCAAGGGGCTGTGGAGAGAAAATGCTTTGTAAGCCTCAAAGAACTATGTAAATATGAGGTATTATCAATTGAGAAAGAAGGAGTGAGCTACCAGAGATATCAAACAGCCAGCCCTGCTACTCTTCAGTAGTTTTTCAGTCATATCCAACTCTTTGTGACCTTATTTGGGCTTTTCTTGGCAGTGATACTAGAGTGGTTTGCCATTTCCTTCTCTAGCTTATTTTACAGATGAGGAAACTAAGGCAAACAGGATGAAGTGACTCGTCCAGGGTCACTGATTTGAACTCAGGAAGATGAATCTTCCTGACTCTAGGCTCGACACTCTATCCATGATGCCACTTAGCTGCCAACACCCAGTTCAGTGGGCCCCATTTCAGTGGTCCAGTGTTTGTATCCTTATAATACTTGCATGTCATGATATCACCTCCCCGATGTCATGTCCTTTAAGAATGAAAAACAAACAACGACCTTGGTGAGTAAGTAGTAGGATATCCAAGGTTGACTATAGCTACTTAGGTCTGCTGTTATAACCAGGTAGAAATCTTCACTGAGTGCTCCTGAAGATACTTGTAATGGCATTGATTTGTTGCTGTAGGTGCTTCTCCCTCCTATATGATGTGGGCCATACAAACTGACCTCTGTTCTTCACATACAATCTCCCATCACTGAGCTTTTGCCCAGGCAGTCCCCTTTCCTGGAATGCATCCCTCTTCACTTCTACCTCACACAATCTTTTGACTTTCTTTAGGGCAAAGCTCAAACACCATCTTCTATAAGAAACTTTTCCTGACTCCCCTTCCCCCCTCTCAACTGTTGCCAATGGTGTCCCTCTCAAAATGTCTTATATTTACTAACTTTGTGTTTTTTATAGTTATTATGTGTGTGTGTGTGTGTGTGTGTGTGTGTATATATATATGTATATATATATATGCATACATATATACGTATATATTCGCATATGTAACTGACATCTCCCCCATTAAAATGTAAGCTCCTTGTGATCAAGGATTATTTTATTCTCTGGATTTGTGCCCCTAGTCCCTAGCACAGTGCCTGGCAAATAGTAGGTGCCCAATAAATGCTTATGGTTCGGCTGAATGATGTTCTCAGTGAGATTTCCCATCTCACTGCCTGTTCCCTCCCCTACTAAATGGTGGTTTCATGGGCCTGTGTTTCTGGGGTGTTACAAGCTGAAGTGAGGCAGGGGACAGTATTGGCTCAGTTGTGTATTACCATAGTGGGACTGCAACTAAATCCCAATTTTCAAACCAACCAACAATTGTATCTGAGAAAAACAATTGGTGCTCTGAGGTGCGTGTGGTGGACAGCAGTTCTTAGTCAAGCTCTTTGCTATTTGCAAACCTCCTAAAGAGGTCTACAATGAACATTTAGGTCAGTTGAACCATTTTTCAGGTCACTTAATCTGGATATGTGACTACTTGAAGGCTTTATGGTTTTGTCAGCATATAGGAACTCACTTCACCAACACAAATTAATAACCCATCTATGACTTAGTAGATTAGTTTTAGGGAACTTCCAGAGCTTTAAAGGTCACTCAATCAGTAAATGTCAAAGGTAGGATCTGAACTGATTCTAGGTCCAGCAGTCTATCCCCTAAGTCACATTGGATCTACTTGAGCTAGATGTCCATGGGATATTTCACTCAACCTCCCACTTCACCAAAATCAAACATTCAAATACTTTTTGAATTCAGTTGTTTTTTCCAATGTTCCTTTCACAAGAATTTTTTTTTTAAACAGCCTTATTCGAATCTTGGCTGTAACAATTAGGAAAAGTCAGCAGCCTGGGTGATTAGTGACCCTACCTAAACCGGTTCCTCTCTGGCATTTTCACTACAGTGGGAGCAGTCTATTAGGAAACCTTCTTTCCACCTCCCACTTTTCCTGGTCATTGCAGATATGGAACAAGCCCAATTTTTTCCATATGCTTGGGGAATTATTCCTGTTAAACGCTTCCCTCTGTGGTATGCAATATTTTCAGTTCTTTTTCTTGCCCATTTCCCTGTTCTTTGATCATAAATTTGCTGGTTTGTCTCTGGCCTTGTAATTGACTACTACACACCTTCATTAGCTCAAAGTTTCAAGGAAAAGATGCCTGATTATCCACTGAAGTCTTCCTCTCACTATTTTTTAGGGACTTATATTTATCAGGCTGCAGCTTTTAGAAACTTTACCCAATAATATCATTACTAGTCCTAAGAAAACTTCCCATCTGCTTGGCCCTGGATGGTCACTGCCTTTCTGGGTTCAGTGCATTTCTCCCTATCAGATGTTTCCCTCTCAATTGTAGAATGATCTTGCTTCTTTCCCTTTTTCTACTAAATGGTGGTTTCATGGGCCTGTGTTTCTGGGCTGTTACAAGCTGAAGTGAGGCAGGGGACAATATTGGCTTTTCTTCTGATTACATATTTAGGAGTGTCTGTCCTTCAAAGAGTTCAAGCTGAAACTCTCAGGGTTGCAGGAAGAATCCCTATATTCTGTAAGAGCTGCGCCCACTGATTTCTAAGATTCCTTCAACCTCTTCAAGATTCTATGAATCCATGATTCTATTACAATTAGAATTGTATTCTAGTTGCATGATTCTATTACAATTAGAATTGTAGCAATGACTAATGAAAGAATAAAAGAGCATTTACTAAGTACTTTCTATATGCAAAGTATTGTGCTAAGTGATAGAGATGCAAATAGATAGAAGATACAATAGCTATAAGTCAGACCCTGCTCTCAAGGTACCCACATTCTAATAGGTGGGGTGCTTACAGGAAGGTTCAGCTATAATCCATAAAGAAAGGACCAGCAGTCCTTATGGTACAACGGCAAGGGAGATGGTAAAGCATCTTCTTTAGGGTCATTCCCACTGATGAAACCACATTGGTTTCTGATGTTGAATCATTTGACAATGCAAGGGATTCTGGTGGCAAGAACTTTCTTTTCTGGGTCTTCAATAGCTGTGGCTGCTGAAGAGATAGGGGCAGAAGTAACTGTAGAGGTAATTGCCAGGTCCCATGTCCATAAATGTTGTTCCCGCAGATAATGGTTATTATGGTGGCTGAACTGGAAGCAGAGCCTGTGAGGTGCTTAGGAAAACTATCTGAAGTTTTCTTCTACTTTGTTCTCAATAAACATGGGGGCTGTGATATGCTGATTTCCAGTGATATGCATAGTTCTACTTTGTTCTCAGTAAACATCGGGGTCGTGGTACCACCAGCTCTCTGAAAACATAGGACACATCAAAGTTTAACCTTCATTTTGCATATTGTCTCCATCACTTTCTTAAGCCTGGACAATCAACAAAACAATAAATGAAGCCCTAATTTGTAGCATTTGCAAATTTCCAAGTGTAAATGTTCACATTGAAAATTTATCACATATGCTTCAGATATAGGACTTGAACCAAGGTGTTCCGGACTCCAAGAAAAGCTCTATCCACTATACCAGACTGCCTTTCACACCCACACACACATGTATGTGTATGCATGAGTATACATATGTATGTGTATGTATATATGTAAATATCTCTCATAGATATACATATAGCTTTATGTGCTGCTTGGTTTTGAAGGTTTGGCTGAAATGAGAAATAAGGCTCACCTGGACCACTACCAGAAGGAAGTTCTCATTACCTCCTCTGGCATCAGCCTTTGGAATGTGAGTGATGTTGGCCAAGTGTAGCCACAACTTTTCTCCTCCCGCTGGCTAATCCCTACTCCCTAGTTAGAAGCCACCCACTCCACCCTTGAAGAAAAATCTCAATATGCATGTGTGGGATGGGGAGAAGGGAGAAGGAGAAAGTAAAGTCCTTACCACCCAGCCTTGTGCAGGACATCAAAAATGGCATATTTTCTCTCTCTCTCTCTCTCTCTCTCTCTCTCTCTCTCTCTCTCTCTCTCTCTCTCTCTCTCTCTCTCTCTCTCTCTCTCTCTCTGTCTCTCCAAAGCATAAGACAAAGGGGAAAAGTCCCCAAATATATATAGTTTTGTTCTCCCTTCTGGGAATTTTATCAAAAATAAAAATAAAACCCATAAAATTTTCTCCCTCCTCTTGACTCAGCTTCTAGTGAGGAGTAAGTCTAGCATGATGGTGGGGAAACTGTGGCCTTCTAGGTCCTTGGATGCAGCCTTTTGACTGAGTCCAAGTTTTATAGAACAAATCCTTTTTTTTAAGGGATTTTGTTCTGCAAAGTTTGGATTCAGTCAAAGGGCCGCACTTGAGGACCTAGAGGGCCACATGTGGCCTGTAGGCTGCAGGTTCCCCACCTCTGGTCTAGCACTTTTGAAGACTAGGACTGTGAGTCTTTTTCTTTTATGTATCTCTGAATATGAATACCCAAACACTGTTTGTCCTGTTCCCTGTTCACACAGAGCTGCTAACAACAACAACAACTAATATTCATACAGTGCCTACCACGTGCCAGGCACTGTGGTACACTATTTCCCCCCCCTTAATAGTATTTTACTTTTTTTCCAATTACATATAAAGATAGCTTTCAACATTCATTTTTGTAAAATTTTAGTTCCAATTTTTTCCCCTTTCTCCCTTCCTACCCCTCATCAAGGCAGCAAGCAATCTGATATAGGTTATACATGTACAATCATGTTAAACACATTTCCACATTAATCATGTTGTGAAAGAAGAATCAGAACAAAAGGGAAAAACTACAAGAAAGAAAAAAAATGAAAATGGTATGCATTCAGACTCCATTATTCTTTCTCTGGATGTGGATAGCATTTTCCTTCACAAGTCTTTTGGAATTGCCTTAGATCATTGTATTGCTGAGAAGAGCTCAGTCTGTCAAAGTTGGTCGTTGCACAGTGTTGCTGTTACTATCGCCTATGTTCTCCTGGTTCTGCTCACTTCATTTAGCATCAGTTCATGTAAGTCTTTCAAGGTTTTTCTGAAATCTGCCTGCTCATCATTTCTTATAGCACAATAGTATTGCATTACATTCATATACCACAACTTGTTTAGCCATTCCCCAATTGAGGGGCATCCCCTCAATTTGCAATTCTTTGATATGACAAAAAGAGCTGTTATAGATATTTTGTACGTACAGGTCCTTTCCCCTTCTTTTTGTGATCTCTTTGGGATACTGTGGTACATTCTTAACAGACATCTCATTTGACCTTTACACCATCCCTGGCAGATAAGTGCTGGCATGACCCCCTTTTAGAGTGGAAAAAATCGAAATGAAATGAAAGGAGAATAAGTAATGTGTGTCTGAAGATGGATTTTAATTTAGGTCTTCTAGACTCCTGTCTCAATATTCTATCCACTGGGCCAATTGGCAATACATAGATCAAGAGCAACTTGATCAATTGAATTCATCTGCTAGCAAAAAAAATTCAAACTGCTTAACAGATATTAGAAAAGTAACTTTACATGACGGAATAAGCTTTGGAATCAGTTTCTTCCCTACCTGGGCAGGATAGAGGCTATACTTCATATCTTGATACCTATTCTCCCAAATGGAAAGTCAACAAAAGTTAATCCCATTCTGGACACTGAAAACGGAGGCGGCCATAGTGCTGACTCCTGCTTCAACTGCCGGTACATCTCCTTGATTGCTTGAAACAGCAGATATTGCTGCTATTGTTGCCACAACCCACCACCCCTCTGTGGCCACCATCTCGTATTCCTGTAGCCATGTCTAGCTCAGAGTTCATGAGCTTAGTACCTGCTAGAGTGAGAAGACAACCATTGTCTGCTTGGGACTACATCTCCCAGAAACTCAGTCACTTTTGGAACACTCCTTCCTGCCTGCAGGGGTCCATCTCAAAAATCCCTTGTATCCACATGCACACGTAACCATATTTCAGAACTCAAAGCATTTTTTAAAAATCCCTTGGGTCATTTCTCTGAAATTCTATTCTTTTACTTATTTGAATTGGGAGTCAGAAGCCTCATGTTCTGGCTCTTTTAAAAGAGCCATACTCTGGCTCTTCTACTTAATACTTGTGTGGCATTGGGCAAGTGATGTCATCTTTCTGGGGCTCATTTGTAAAAGGAAGGGGTTGGGGGTAGATGCCCTTCAAGGTACCTTCTTGCACTAAATCTCTTTCTGTGATTCTTCATTTGCACTCACAATGATAAATACTTCTTTGATATCTGATCCTACCTTTCTGTCACTCCTAGGGCATGGAAGTTCCACTTTAGCTAAGAGGAATAAGAGAGGAAAAATAGATTGCGGATACGACTGTCACCACTGATTGAGGAGACAGAGTGGAGAGAAGAGTGACCTCACATTATGTTATCTACCTGGGAAAGGGGCCTGTTTAATTTTGTATTTTCTGCCTTGGGCAAGAAACACGCTTGGTTTCATCTTTCACTTCAGCTAGAGGAACACCAATATCTCCCCAGCTTGTTCCTTTCAAACTTTCTGGAGTTTCATTCTGGGTATTTTGTGGCTTTAACCGTCATCCTTTGAGATTGTGGTTTTGACTTTATAACAAATCAGATTTCCTAAGGGGTGTCCTGGGGTGTGATTGGTTGATAATGTGACAGTGAACCAATTCAAAGCCTTTTTTTTTCTCCAAAGAAGAAGACTCCTGGGTCTCCCAGGGAACTAATAAATAAGGTGCTTCCTTACAAGGAGAATGTGAATTGTAGCAGCTGGAAACAAAGGCAATCTTTACTGGAAGCTCGTGGCCATTAGCCCACCATCTCTGGGCATTATAGCTATGCTGTTTGGCACTTGAAATTCGCAAAAACTGCTCAAGTGGTAGGTCAGGTTGCCATCCTTTGTAAGGTGCCATTGAGATGGGTAGCTTTAAGATGAAACACTCCCAGAAAATTCAGGGAAAAATAAATAAGTGTATCTTTCTTATTTTTTTTCCCACTAGCAAGTTTCCAGCTGATTAAAGGACTTTTCATGGTTCTGGGAGGGAGACATCTCTTGTACTATACACCTGAATGTCAGTACTTATTACTGAGTACTAGCGGCTCAAATGTTATCTGAATCTCCTGGAGGCCTCCTGGGGGTAGCTGCAGCCAGAGATTTCAAGGAGCTTGTGCCAATTATTTCTTTTCTATCTACATAGTGATAGTGATAGTGACCTCCAGTAATCATATCATGGGAGTCAGGTGCTGCTGTGTAAACAATTTTCTCTACTTCATTCATAGCATTTGAGATGGTTGCCTTTCCTCCCCACCTCCCCCCTTATACATTTTTCCTTTTGCTTGTTCAGACTTAGGTTTTTTGTATTTTTTTTTTTGCAGGGTGGGGTTGAGGGGGGAGTGTAAGGGAAAGGGATTGATGAAGATGTGGGCCAGAGATAGAGGTGCCCCATCATTTTTAGTATCACCCTGTCCTCTGAAAATCCTGAACTGGTCACCAGTGGGGAGAAGAGACAATGTATACAGCCAGGGGTGGGAGCCACAGTGATACCAACAGTTGTCTTACTGTGGGCTTTCATGACTTAAAAAAAACCTTAAAAAAATGGTACCAGATGTCTCCAACCCCTTTCCCAAATGAAAGGTCATTTCCCAGTCTCTTGGACCCCAAGAGGTAGAGGCTATGAAACCCTGACCTTTTGCTGATTCTCCTGATCACAATAAATTGTCAAGATGTTCTTTTTTCCTCTTCTCTGGGCATCAGAAAACCCAGGTGGGGCAGCTGGATGAGTTTAAGTAGCCTTCTCCAGGAAGGAGAGGTGATTGTGGTTGCTCTTCCTGTTGGTAAACAGATTGCTAAAACCAATGATATTGGGACTAGGTTGGCAGAATATATAGAGAGAGTTCTAGGGATTTAGAGGGTAGGGGACAAATAACTCTGTCTTTTCTGGCTTGAAGTTTTGTCCTAGGAAATGTTCTGGAAACACACACTATCATATCACAGACCTAGATCTGGAAGGGCCCTCAAAAGCCATCCAGTCCAACCCTTTTCTTTTACAGATGAAGAAACTGAGGGCCATGGAGGCTCAATGACTTACCAGGGTGATACAGAAAGTAACTGGGGACAGGTAGATTGGAGATGGGAAATCCAGATCCCATTCTTCCCAGCTAGCCTGGAAAAAGTCACACTTGAACGTGGGCCTGTCAGATTCAACTGGAGTCCAAGCAAACCCCTAGTGCATTGTTATTTATTTGTTTTTTCAAATTGCCATTTGCTTTAGGGAACCTCTGGGAAGAGATATAATTAAATGTAATTGAAAAGGCTTGAAAGACTGATGGCTGTGATAATGTAGCAAAAGAAAGGAAGAAATAGAAACAGGCTCCCCATTGTTACTGCACTGGGGCAAGTCAACTGAAAGCCAGATCCTGGAAGACTGGTCATTGGTATGGTAGAAAGAAGTGTCATTGAATCATAGACTTAAGAGGTAGCAGGGATTTTAGAGGCCATTAAGAGAAACCCCACCTCCTTTCATAGATGAGGACCCTGGGACTTAGGGAAATGAAATGCCTTACCTAAAATGTTGTTGTTCAGTCATTTTTCAGTCATGTCTCACCCATCTGGAATTTTCTTGGCAAAGATCCTGGAGTGGTTTGCCATTTCCTTCTCCAGCTCATTTTACAGCTGAGGAAACTGAGGCAAGCAGGGTTAACTGACTTGCCCAGTGTCACACAGTGAGTATCTGAAGCTGGATTTGAACTCAGGAAGATGAGTCTTCCTGATACCTGGCGCAGCCCTCTCTCCACTGTGCCACCTAGCCATTCTTTTGCCTAAAATAAGACAGATAAGAAAAGGCAGTAAAATTCCTGCATTGGCCATGTCCAAATAAATGCAAACATACACACACATACATACGCATGGACATGTACACATATGTGTATGTGTAGATACACTTATGTCTCAGTCTGCATTACGTACTATTGTCCTTTATTTTACAGAAGATGAAACTAGGAAAGGTGAAATCACTTGCCTGTCCTTACAGAGCAAGTCAGTGTGGGAGGCAGGACTATAACCCATAACTCTCTTATATTCATAGTTAAAAGCTGTGTAATACTGGGGGGGGAAATGCAAAACTTGCCAGATTTGAAATCAAGGAATCTTCAGATTCTCTCCATGGGTATGTATGTGTGTGTATGTGATTATTTGGACATGGCCAATGCAGGAATTTGACCATATATGTTTATAACAAGGGTTTTGTTATTCCTTTTTTCAATGGGAAAGAATCAGAAGGAGAGGTGTATTTTCATTGATTTAAAAAAGAACACATTTTTAATTTTTTTTCAGGTACATTTTTAAAATTTATTTTTAGCCATCAACATTCACTTCCATAAGCTTTTGAGTTCCAAATTTTCTCCCCTTCCCTCCCCACCCCCTCCCCAAAATGGCATGCAATCTGGCAGAGGCTATACATGTACAATCATATTAAACATATTTCCACATTAGTCATGTTGTAAAAGAAGAATCAGAACAAAAGTGAAAAACCATGAGAAAGAAAAAAAAAAGAAAATAATATGATTCAATCTGCATTCAGACTCCATGGTTCTTTCTCTGGATATGGATAACATTTTCCGTCATGAGTCTTTTGGAATTGTCTTAGATCATTATATTGCTGAGAAGAGCTAAGTCTATCAAAGCTGGTCATCTCACAATGTTGCTATTAGTGTATACAGTGTTCTCCTGGTTCTGCTCATTTCACTCAGCATCAGTTCATGTAAGTCTTTCCAGATTTTTCTTAACTTCTCCTGCTCATCATTTCTTATAGCACGATAGTATCCTATTACATTCATACACCATAACTTGTTCAGCCATTCCCCAATTGATGGGCATCCCCTCAATAACAATTTTTAAAAATGAAAATAATAGTACATATTGCAGCCTGAGGCATAAGCATGTACACACACTCACACACACACATATATATGCATATCTGTGGGCATATATGTCTGTCTGTGTACATGTATGTGTGTGCTATGTTTGTACATATTTGGATAGGGCCTATGTGGGAATTTATTTGACTAAATATGTTTATAACAAGAGTTTTGTTATTCTTTCTATCTCAATGGGAAAAAAGGAGAGGGAGAGAAGGTAGACTTTCATTGATTGAAAAAAAGAATTAAATTTTTTTAAATGGGGACAACAGTATCTGACATCCAGGTTGTTGTCAGGAGAAAGCATTGTATATAAGGAAAGTATGATATAAATGTCAGCCAATCTTGCATAGATAGATGAAGGTAGATACAGAATAGTTCTATAGTTATGAGAAAGTTAGACCAGGGAATCAGGGGAATTGTTAGTCAATTACTTCACTCAACAAACATTTATTCACTGTTTTCTGTATTCAAGACATGCAGCTTGATCTCATATGTCATTGAAGGGACATAAGGTATCAGTTACTGTTGGAAAAAATACATATCCTTTTGAAGGCCTTTTCTCTCCCACCCATTAAACCTTACACTGGAATCTAACAAACAGGAAGCTGCAAGAGTTCCATAGAATGACTGCCGAATACGGTGAATGTCCAAAGACTATGATGGTGATGGTAAGCTCTTGTGTGTGAACTGAAATTGAAGAAAGGCAGCAATAGTCTGGCAGGGACAGAAAGAACCAAGGAAAGAGACTTACAAAGTCTGGGGCCAACATAATCACAGGTGACATTTATATAGCACTTTACTGTTTACACAGCACTTTGCATACATTATCTCATGTAAGACTTACAACAATCCTGTGAGGTAGGCAGTGGAAGTGTTACAGGCCCTATTTTACATGTGGGAAAACTGAGGATCACACAGGTTAAGTTTTAGCAGAGCCATGACATGAACCCTAACCAACTAATGCTTAAATTCAATGCTTTCTACTGCTATATGCCACCCTATGGGGCCAAAGCAATTGTGGCTACCAGAATTCAGAAATGGGCTAGAGGCCTAGGGACTAGGAGATCAAAGAGAGAATTTGTGACATTAGTGGTCAGATGCCAGCCAAGCATCTTGGGACCAGGAGGTCAAGTCAGGAGTAGCCAGCAGACCTCATGAGGATACAGGGTCAAAGTTGAACAAAACCCATAGCGCTGCAACATGGGCATGGGCCTGACCCTGTAAGAAAACTTACTTGCCAAAGTGGCTCTTTACATACCTTATGTCTCAGCAAGCCATGATCTCAGGGAATGGGGATCTTGCCAATGCATAGAAAAGTCAGTGCACCAGGCTAGGAAATGACGAGTGGATGCAGATGGATACTGAAGATCAACAAAATTCTTTTGGCTCAGGCTCAACAGCTACTCTGCTTAAGGAGGGGGGAGGACTCTTCCTGGAGAAGAGTAGGCTTTGTACTTCTTGGGGGTCGCTCAGGCTCTATGTTGGCACTCTGAGAATTTAGCTGTCCATAGAAGCCAATGACTGAGCTTCTGTGGCAAATATAAGATAGGTCTGAGCAGGGAACAGAGAGTAGGCATTGTTCCAACCCTGCTTCAGAGAGGAAAGTAGGTCAGGGAGAAAACTGCAGGTTTACCGTGGGAGACAAGTGAACTTGTCACTTTGGAATCCACTGGGGTAGAAAGTGAGCAGCAGGCCGGAGCTGGCCAGGGGAATGGAGTCTTCGGCACCAGCAGTTGCAAGCACAGTGGGAGCACCTACAAGGTAGCAGGGAGCTATTAACTTTCCTCCCCACATGCATCTCCTATCCCTCCACTACCCCCTCTCCCCAAAATAAACCTTGAGAAAACAAACCAAGTGATGATTTTTAGGTGGTGACAGCAGCTGAGCCTCTCTCTGGAGAGAGTGCCAGGCTGCAGTTTCCCAGTCACCAGCTGCATTTGCATAATTGGGAATCGAAACAAACCCCCCAACTCTGGAGAGAAAGCTCTAATTACAAATAAACACTGCCTTCTAGGAAGCTGCCTAGGGCGAAAGGCTGCCAGCAGAGGTTTCTCCTTACTGGAATGTTCTGTTAGCACAGTAGCCAGTGAATTTTAGCTATAAGTGAGCAGTGATTTGACCAAACTATGAGAGGATCATAAAAGGTAGTTTGATTTAGTAGAAAGGGAACTGGTGCTGAAGTCAAGAAGACCTGGGTTCAGGTCCTGGCTACGTGACTCCAGGCAACCTGATTCATTCATTGATTCATCAAGAATTTATTGTGATTACTCCAACCCAGGCACTGAGGGGTATATATTGAGCTGGCCCTGGAGTCAAAGAGGCCTGGGTTCAAATCCCCAAAAAGTACAAAGCCTACTCTTCTCCAGGAGGAGCTCTACTCCTCCTAAGTGACCCTTGGTAAGTCAGTCAACAAGCATTCATTAGGTAGCTTTGAGAAGGAAGGGCAAACGGGGGCAGCTGGGTGGTGCCCTGGATTCAGGAGGACCCGAGTTCAAATCCGGCCTCAGACACATAACACTTACTATCTGTGTGACCTTGGGCAAGTCACTTAACCCCATTGCCTAGCTAAAAAAAAAAAAGAAGAAGAAGGAAGGGCAAACAACAAGAACAAGAAGTAGCTAAGAGATACCAGGCGCTTTGCTGAAGTTACAAAGAAAAGCAAAAGCCATCCCTGCTCTTCAGGAGCTCTCAGCAAAGACCATAGTGCAGCAGCAGATAGGGAGCTGGCCTTGGACATTGGCTGTGTGACCCTCTCCAGGCCTCAGTTTCCTCATTTGCAAAATGAGATTGCAGTGGATGGCCTCTGAGGTCCCTTCTAGCTCTAAATCTGTGATCCTTTGACAAATCACTTAGGCTCCTAGGGTTCCCAAGCAACCCTGTAAGATTGGAAGTTACAGAATGAACTTGTTCTTGAATTGATGGATGGAATTTCTTCGCTAAGGCGCTCCTGAGACCAAAGAAATCGCAGACACAGTTCTCCCCCACTACTCCATCCACCTGCAAAAACAAACAACTCCCTTCCCCCAAACCCTCAAGCTCATCGATTTAGGGCCAGAAGGAACCTTAGGGGCCACCTGGTCCAATACTCTCATTTTATACAGGAGGAAACTGAGACTCAGTGAGATGAAAGATGTGAGGAGATTTACAAAGTTTTTATTGCTCAGTCATTTCAGTCATACCCAATTCTTTGTGACCCCATCTGAAGATTCTTGGCAAAGTGGTTTGCTATGTCCTTCTCCAGCTCGTTTTACAGCTGGGGAAATGGAGGCAAACAGGGTGAAGTGATTTGCCCAAGGTTGCTAGTAAGTGTCTGAGGTTGGATTTGAACTCAGGACGATCAGTCTTTCTGATTCCATGCCCAATGCTCTATCCACTTAGCCTGAAAGACAGTAAGGAACAAAGTCAGGATTCAAGCCCATCTCCTTTAATACTCCTTCCCTCCCATCCCCACCTCCACAGTCGCCTTTGCTTGGTATCCAATTGTTTTTGTCCTTTGTTCTTGTTAAGGACCAAAATTACGTCACTACGTTGAGGTCAAGGTACAGTGTGTCTGACTGTGACTGATCAGACCAATAGGAACTTGGAAGGCTCTACCACAGGTCTGGCACAAATAGTTCATAAGAATATTTGGAGTACCAACCTAGTTAAATTCAGAAAGTCTCATTCCCCAACTTGGCCTCAGCAAACAA